GAGCCCCGCCCTCTGTCAGAGGAAATATCCACCCTCCTGAGCTTTTCAAGAGATTGTTTTCTTCCAAGTAGGTCCCACCGTTACCATGGCAACCAAGAGCCCTGGGCTTTGTGTTTCTGTGTCTATTGAGTCCCTGGGGAGAAGTGGCCTGCAGAGCTTTCTCTCGTCTGGTCAGGATGCAGGAAGTGCTAGCCAGAAGTGGATCCTCCCAGCCCCATTTAGGGGGTAATCTCTTGCTTCCTTAATGCCTGTCCTTATCCCTAGGGAGAGGCCAAGGCTCCACAGGAGTCAGTTCTGGTGGTCAAGTTTAAAGGCTTAGGCTCCAATGAACTGGTTTCTCAGGGCCTGAATTCTGCATCCATCCTACGGCACATCTCTTTCAAAAGGTGCCATCTGAGGGCGCCTGGGTGGCTCAGTGGGTTGAGTGCCTGCCTTTGGCTCAGGTCATGATCCCAGGGTCCTGGGATCAAGCCCCGCATCGGGCTCCCTGCTCAGCAGGGAGCCTGCTTCTCCCTCTCCCACTCCCTCTGCTTGTGTTCTCTCTCTCGCTGTCTCTCTCTCTGTCAAATAAATAAAATCTTTTTTAAAAAATGCGATCTGAGCAGGTGTCCAGGAGGGGCAAGCTCACATCAGACCACGGCACATGCTGGGGGACTGTTGCACAAATATTTCTTGATCACTTACAATGGGCTAGTACGGGATCTCCAGACTGGTTTCTGCTCCAGGGAGCTCTAAGCGAAGGCTCAAAACCAAACTGGCCATTAAATGTCGCCAGGGATAGTTGTCCCCAAGGCTCTTTTCTGCAGGAGGCTAGACATTAGCATTGCCTAGGGAGCTTTTTAGAAAGAGAAATTCCTGGAGATTCTGATTCCACCAGTGTGGGTGTGAGTGGAGGGTGGAGGTTAAGAGTTCTGGGTGTCAAACCACTGGAGTTCACGGTCGAACTCAAGTGAGTGACCTTGAGCTGCCAGTTCCTCACTGAATGAATGATGGGAAGGAACAGTGGGGCCTGCTTCACAGGCAGCAAGATGTTCTCTGCCTTCCTCCACCCCTTGGCAACAGGGTGTTGTTTTTTTTTTTTTTTTTTTAATCCAGCAGCCCATTTATTCACTCAAGCTATGTATCAAGCTAGATTTGAGATCCTACTGTGTACCCAGGCTTGTGCTGGGCACCAGGGACCCCACAGTGACTAGACAGATGAGGTAGCTGTGGCCTGAATAGGAATGGGACTCATGCAGGGTTCCAAATCGAGTCTGTGGCAGGGCCGGACTGGAATGCTGGGCTCTTTCCCCTAGACTCACGGGGCTTGTGACTGCGGGGGTGTGGGGCAAGGCTCACCCTACTCTTATTTTCCCCCACCTGCTCTGATGGGCCATGACACAATCTGGGCTCGCCTATCCCTACCTGTGATGGCATGAGAAACTCTGGGGGTGCTAGAGACCTTATCTGCCCCCCCCGAAGCAGAATGGGCAGCCCCGGGGCTCACTGAGGCAGCCCACGGTGCCACAGCCCTGTCCCTCCCCGAGAAGGAGCAGTCAGCCACACACTCACACATATTCAACGCCTTAAACTCAGCACCTTACTCTGCAGGCCCTTCCCTGACAGGTGGAGCTTGCCAGCTGGCTGGTTCTCCCAAAGCCTCCAGAGACAGTGCCCCTGATGCGTAGATCTGACTGCTTTGGCAAAGACCCAGAATCCAGTCAGGTTGAGACTTGAGCTCCTCCAGGGGCTTCCTTGGGATCAGCATGGTGTATTAGAGGTGAGAGGGTATGGCTTTGGGGGTCACAAAGACCTGAGTCCCGCCATGGAACCTCGTATCGCTGAGATTCAGATCCCTCAGCTCTCAAAGGAGACACATTATCTGCTGCATTGACTTGTGGGAATGAAATGAGATTTGTTGGCAAAAGTGCCTGGTACATGGTCAGAAACATGCTGGTTCCCCCCCACACACCTCCTTCCCTTCTCTCTCCCTCCCTCCCTCTTAAAGGGGCAAAGCAGATGTGCTTCTGAAACCGGGCTTTGTTTCTCATTGTGCTCCTGTAAGCTGGGGGGGTGGGGGTGGGCAGGACAGGGTGGGCAGGCAGATCCAGGAAGCAGTAGGACCAAGGGAGTGGAGGCAGAGAGAGCTGACTACTGGGCAGCCGCGGAGCTGTGGAAAAGCTACTTGCCCCTGTAAACCTTGGGCGATGTGAAGAACACTGGTACCTAGTAGGGAGCTCCATAAACATTCCCACCCACTGTTCCAGGGGTGGGGGGTGGGGGAAACTCCAGTTCATAGCTGGGGAACGTTAGCCAATCCATAGCTGGGGAACGTTAGCCAAGATTCAGTTTCTTCTGACCCCGGAGTCTGTGAGGAGCAGTGAAATCTTGCTGGGAGGGTCTCTGCTGAACTGCTCTGGGCAAGTGTATTTAAAAATCGTCAGCCCCAAGCTCAGTCGCGTCCGGTAGCACCACCTAGTGCCCCAAAGTGGAAGGGCCCTCCCGCCTCACCCCCCCCCCTTCTAAGTCCTCTGTGTGTGTGCGCGTCTGTGTGTTGGGGGCCAGGAGAGGTGCTGTTATAGGATGATAGGATTGGGCCACTCGTACTTTCATATCCCAATATGCGGAGAACTAATGCTGTTTTTCAAGATAACTAGTCTTTTTACCTCCCTCCCTCCCAACAACTGCCATCCCCAAGTGCGTAGGACTCTAGGTAGGTCCCTTGGGCCTTGCTGGGCCTCAGTTTCCTCATCTAAGGATTGCAAGGCTTCAGGCTAGGGTTGATTCAGGCAAGGTGCCTGGGAAATGCTCTCTGATGCCTACTGAGTGCTCATCTATGTTTGCTCAATAACCCAGAGAGACGCAGTCTTTACACACCCTTTATATTTTTATTGAGGAGAAAAGCTTTAGCATACAGAACAATTTATCTTCACAACACAGTAATGCAACAATAACACAATAACAATAACACATTTTCAAACAGGTTTCCTCCCGAGTCTCTGGGAATCCTTGGGCTGCCTTCATACCCCTGGCATGCATTCCCCCCCCACCCCCCACCCCTCTTTCAACCCAAGAAAGCACCCAAAGCCCATAGTTCTTCTTATAGCTCTTGTGGCTGTCACATCACAACAAATATTAAAGATCCGGGAAAGGTGGGGGAAGAGGGTCAAAGGGAAGCCCAAGCCCCCCCCTGCCACCAGAGGGCCAGAAGCCAGCTCACTGCTCATCCGCTCTTTCCCCAGCTGAGGCTACAAGGGCTCAGGGTGAGAGGCACCACGGGAACAGCAGGGCCTGTGCTGAAGGGTCCCTGGAGGTTGGGGTGCAAGGCACCTGTCCTTTGCACTTCTCCGGCAGGGACGTGGGCAGCAGGGCCAGAGTGTCGACCGTCAGCAAACAGGGTCCCACAGCCTAGAAGGATAGCCGTTCCCCTTCTGGAACCCTCGCCTGAGGAAATAGCTGAAAAACAGACAAAATTTTCTCTATGCGGTTGTTGACCACTGTACCGAAGGGAATGGAGAAAACCAGGCAACTGAAATGTCCAACAAATCAGGAGACTGCTTAAATAAATTATTCAGTATGCATGACTGCATAGGTGGCAGCCATTTTAAATCCTGCTGATCAAGAGCTTACAGCATGATCTCAGCTTTGAAAAGACAGAGGGAGAACATGCTAGAAAGGCATCAAAGTGTTAACAGTACTTGCGTCCGTATCCTGGATGTCTGGGGGTGTTTTGGCCTTAACAGTTTTCTCGATTTTCCAAATTTTCTGTTATGATTATCTATTACTTTTCTCCTTGGAGGAGGGGGGAGCCTTTTTTAAAAGGTAGCAACAGGTTCTAGGAACCCGGCTCCACGGTTGCCCCAGGGCTGCCCCAGGCCAAGAAGCGTGTTATAAACAAAAAGGGCTTCTTACCTCCCACTGACGAATAGAGACCTCACCAGAAACCAGCCGGAGGACTGGGTTTCTCTGTGACTCCTCTTCCTTCAGCTCCTTCCGCTTGCCTCCAGGCTCAAGATCCTAAGGCTGGGCTGAGGTTATCTGTCAGACTCCGGTGAGGAACAGAGGCATCATTTACTATGTTTCCTTCCCTCTAGCCACAGACACTTTGGCTGCACTTGTCCAGCTGCCAGGCACTGTGCAGGAAGCTCAGTGTGGAGGGCAGTTCAGGCCAGAAGCGGATCTGGCTGCCATTCTGGGGCCAGACTGACATAGTGTATATTTTTCACCGCCGAAGCAGTGTTTTTTGGACCCGAGACAAGCAGCAGGACTCTTTATGGGTGGCCCTGGGTTCGTACCCAGAAGTCCCCGGAGTTATTAGGAGGCAGTCACCCTCTTAAGCCTCATTGTCTAATTGAAGCCCAGCACCGGGCCATGGCTTGCCCCCCCCCCCGCCCTCCCATGTGAGAAACATGAGGACGTCCCAGCTGCAAGGCTGTAGACAGAACCTTCCTCTCTCCTCTCAGAACCAAGGAATCCTTGAAGTCGAAGTTAAAGAGCAGGCCTCGGGCCCTCTCTGTTTTTGGCAGTCCAGGAAAGAAAGGCGAATCGGGCCTCCTCTGGTACCTCAAGGATGGCGAGTCTCCTGCAAAGGCCTTTGGCTGGGGGCTGCAGTCCAAGGCCTGGCCGGGGAAGGAGACCACCATCCCCAAGGAAAGAGTGACTCCTTACAATGTCAAGCTGAGTTGTTGCTGCTGCTGCCTCCTCCTCCTCCCCCTCCGCTCCCCCCCTCCGCCTCCTTTTAGGTAACATCCAGAGAAGGGTTAGAGCCTGTAACCTTGGGCTGTCTGCTGGGGATGCCCGGGAAGGCGGCGTGGTGAGAGGAGAGGGTCCCGGACTTGGCGAGCTGGTCCAGGGGCCCTGATACACGGGTCTGTGGGGCGGACGAACCAGCTTGCTGGGTCAGTCAAGAGCCCATCTCAGCCATGTCGTCCATGTGACGTGTGGCTTTGCGCACACTCACTGGGCTGGATGTGGGGGTTCTCTTCGGGGCCCTTTTGCTGGGGGGGGGGGCTTGAAGCAAATGTCAGCTTCTCGTACATCTCTTGATACCATCCTGCTCTCTGTCCATTTTATCGAGTCAGTGGCCTCAGTGGCTTTAGGAGTTCGGCGTAGCCTGTCCTTTCGCTCATGGGGGCAGATCAGTGAGGCATTGGGTGAAGTCCTGGTGAGCCAGTCCGAGGATAAAACCGTAGAACACAGGGTGAATAAACGCAGGAGAGGTGAGGGTTAGGAACAACTAGAGGGGAAATGACAAGAGGGCGACCAGTTCTTTTATGGGAACAGGCCCCGAAACCTGCTCTCTAGCTTGTGGCAGGACTGAGCAGAGCGCACTCCAAGAGGACAGCTACTGCTGATCCCTTCTTTCTCGGGTGGCCTTGCCTGGACACGTGTCACTCTCTGGTCACGGTCGCAAGACGATCTGGAGTTCTGTAGGTCTTCCTCGGGCTCTACAGGTCTGGAACTCCCTCAAGGACTGGTCGGCAAATAGGGCAGGCGTGGCAGCGATAGCAGGGGCAGGGGACGCTGTAGAAGGGTGTGTTCTGCGCGGCGAGCTCGCCCCAGCTCTCACACGCGAATTCGGCCGCGGGCGGCCCGGTGGCCCCCCTGTCTCGGAGTGAGGCGGAACAGCACGGGGGGACGCCTTCGAATCTGGCGTTGCCCCAGACGACCTGCGCGGCGAATCAGTGGGGGCGAACTGTAGAACGGCGAATTAGTGCCCGGAAGGCCCTCCAGGAGCGGGACGCGATTCTGGTTCCTCCTCCTGCTGGGCTGTACTATGGGCGGCGAAGCATCTAGGAAATTCTCGTGGTAGTAGCCAGTGGTCTGGGATGAAGCGTGGGCAACAGTCGGCTCCATCTCCATCATCTCGTCCAGGTCCTCGTCTTGGGTCTCATCCTCTGACTCTGGTTCCGGCTCCTGGTCCCCCTCCTGGTCGGCGTCGGGATCTGGCTGTGGGACGGGGCACACGAATTCACCCTTGTTCTCTTCATCCTTGACTGTCTCCACGTCCACCTCCTCGTCCACGTCCACCTCCTCGTCCTCCTCGTCCTCCTCGTCCTCCTTCTCTTCCAGTTTCTTCTTCATCTCCTCCAGCTGCTTCTTCCTCATCTCTTCCTGCTTCTTCCTCTTCTCCTCCTCCTCCCTCGCCTCCTCCTGAATAGCTCTCACGCGCCTCCGCTGCTCCCTGTCGTAAAGCCTGCGCCTGCGTGTCTCTTCATCTTCGTCACTGTGGAAATCTTCCTCATCGCTGTCTTCGTTAGGGTCCGCGGCAAAAGGGAAGAAGATGTTGCGGACCCCAGGGAGCGGGATCGGCTTGGGGACGCGCACCTTTCGCTCTATCTCCACACACTCGAGAATCAGCTCATCCAGGTCGGCCATTTCGGTGGACCATAAGAGTTCCTTGCGGAAGAATTCTGACAGGCCTTTAAGGAATTGGTTTTGAAGGCGGCAGTCATCCCAAGACAAGAACTGGGCCAGGAACTGAAAAGCATCTGCATAGCTGCCTAGGGTACAGTGGCCCTGCTTGAGCTTGCGGATGGCCTTTTTAGCCACGCTTGGGGGGATGGGGCCGCAGAATTCCTTGCGGATCTCATCCAGGAAGCGTGGGAAGTTGGCACGCAGGGGGCTTCCTTCCCGGGTGACTGAGATGGCCCAGTTCTTGGCTTGGCCCGCGAAAAAGGAGATCAGAAAGGCCACCCGCTCGGCGCCCCCGGGGAAATGATCCTCGTGGTCAGCTATGAAAGTCTCTAGCTTCATCAGGAATTCGGCCAGGTAGACCGGGTCGCCCGAGAAGGGCTCTAACTCGGGCCGCTCCAGCGGCGGCAGAGGAGGCTGCGCCGGCAGCTCCTTGGCTGGGGGCGGGGGCAGCGCCGGCGGGGGCGGGATGGCCAGCGGGGGGGGGTCGACGGGCGCGTCGGAGGTACCGCAGTCCTGGATCACGCTAATCAACAGTTCGTCCGAGGCGTACTCGGGCTCGGCGCGAGGGGGAGGCCAGCACAAGAAAGGCAGCTCCCCCTCGGGAACTGCGTCGATCTCGCTGAGCGGGAACTCAAAGTTCTCCTCGGCAAGGACGGGCACCACCGGCACCGGCCAGCGGATGTAGCTCGATACATTGCCCCGCAAGGAGTTAACCTCGGCTAGGGCTCTTCCGAGCTGAAGGCCCAGATTGGCATTCTCCCCGCGAAGGGCATTTAATTCTTCTCGCAGGGCCACGTTCGCCATGCGCAGGCTGTTTAGATTTCCGGCGGCCTCGGACATCAGGATTAGCTCAGGGGCCCCGGGTCTGAGGGCGGGGGCGCAGGTGGAGGGGGGGTGGGGAGCTGGAGGCCGCGAGAGGAGGCTGAAATGCGGCGGCGGGGCGCGTGCGGGGGGAGGGGAGCGGAGCGCCGCGGCGGGGCGCGGGAGAGGCCGAGCCACACCCACTGGGGCGAGCGCGGAGGGCGGGCGCTCCGGCCGGAGGGCCCAGCGGCTCGGCCCGGGGCGCTTTACCTCGTCCCGGGGATCGGATCGGATCGGAGAAGGCGAGCGGCGGCGGCGGGAGCCGGAAGGCGCCGGGGGCCGAGGACTCGGGCGGCAGGCGGCAGGCGGCAGGCGGCAGGCGGCGGCGGGGCGAGCGGAGGCTGGCGGAGCGGGAGGGAGTGCACTGCGGCAGGATCTGTCGAGGAAAAATCTTGCGGCTCGCGAGTCCCCGCCTTTTAAGTGCAGCGTCGCGCCGCCCCCCACCCCCGACGGGGCGGGTCTTAGGGAACCGCGGGCGCCCACTGGCCGCCGCGCGCCGCCCCCCCGCCCCCCCTCCCCGCCTGCGCCTCTCACTGACTCTCTCCTTCCCTAGCTGCAGCTAACTCGGGTCGGGAAAACGCGACAGCGACTGCCCACTCGAGGTCGTCATGGCGACAGCCAGTGAACGTGTTCCTCTCCTCGGGCAGGCCCCCGAGTGTAGAGGAGCTGCTTCGAGAGGCGCAGCTCAATCTCCAGAGCCTGTTGCAAGGTACTGAGAGGGAGGGGGGCTGCGGCCGGAGCCCACAGGCGAGATGCGCAGCGGCTGGAGGGAGGCGCAGAAGAAAGAGGACAGGGACCAGCGAGAGAAGAAAAAAAAAAAAAAAAGAGAGAGAGAACGGTTTAAACCCCCACTGAAAAACAAAAAAACACACAGTTGCCCATGTTTTTACCTTCCAGACTAAAGGGTTCGAGAGGGCTCGGTTTCTCCGGCTGTTTACTCGCCACCCCTCCCTTCCACCCCCGCCCCTTTATTTTTCAGTTCAGGAGGCCACGGCGGGGGTGGGGGGGAGGACGGAGGCAGAAGCAGGGCAGTGGTCAAGCCATTTACAGAGGGAGCTGGGTGAGAGACTCCCACAGGGTGGGCTCACAGACCTTTTAGACCCTCTCTTGGCACGTCACCTGTGCCTTTGGAATCCTCACACCCAAGGACAATGGAGGCATCTGCAGGGTCTCCCCCTCGGGGCTTCACCCACTCTGCTCTTGCCACAACCTGTCCGTGTGTCTCCTGGGGAGCAACCGCCTCATTAGAGTAAGCCCGACAGGGACGCCTGAGTGGCTCCGTCGGTTGAGCTTGAGCGTCCAACTCTATCTCAGCTCAGGTCTTGATCTCAGGATTGTGGGTTCGGTCCCTGCGTTGGGCTCCATGTTGGGCGTGAAGCCTACTTAAAAAAAAAAAAAAAAAAAGGCAAAAAAACCAAAAAGTAAGCCCGATACCCAGCACCCAGAGCTCTCCTCATCCCCAATTCCCAGCCCATTGTCTTTGGAGTATACAGATGAGCACGCCCTACACAAAGCTGGGTCCACACGACCCAGACACACAGCCCAGTCGTGGTGCCTGAGCAGTCAGACTGTGCATGCACCAGGCAGAGTGAGAAAACCCACACTGTGAAATCAGACAGAGCTAGAATCTCAGTCCCACCCCTCACCCAACTAGCTGTGGGATATTATGCAGATTACCCAAAGCTTCAGATGAATCAGTCATCTTTAAAGTGAGATTCCGGTTCCCCACGCCGCACAGTCTTGTGAGAATTAAAAATGGTATGTAACCTGCTCAGCAAGAGTATCTTGCAGCTGGAGAGACCCCGATAGGATGCACCGTCAACTCCCGGTACGTGTCCTTTGGAACACAGGCTTAGCTGGGCACAGTATTAAAGTTAACACAAAGGAGAGAACAGTGCGGTCGCTGATAGGCCCTTCCAATACGAAAAACCAGACACCTTGACCAGAGGGATTTAGCCTATGTACGTGGCAAAGAGATTAAAGCTCAGTGTTATGAGAGAGACAACTGGGGTGTTACAATATCTGGACGGAGGTTACAAGGGACGTGCATATGTCAAAATTCACTGAGCTGTGCACTGAAGGTTTGTACACCTTGCTGTAGGTAAGTTATATCTCCATGAAGTAATTAATACAAATAAAATCTCAGTGGTAGTCGCAAGCTCCGTACCTACTCCAGGCACTCGCTGTCCCACTGAGGCCTCTCTTCCAGGCCCAGAAGCCCTTCCTCAATGTCTTCCAACCTCCAATCCTTACACGTTCTTCACAGTTCTCTTCTTGCCTCATTCAAAACCCTTTAACGCTAGTTCTGCACTTCGCTCATTCCCTTCGTGAGCACTCCCGCGAGCCACCTTGGGCCATCCAGCTCCAGAGGACTTGTATCGTTCTGAAGTGCTTTTTCTTTCATTTGTTCATCCATTTACTCCTTCACCTACTAGTTCTGGGCTTACCACTTGTCCGCCTAACCAGACCGAACTTCTCGACAGAAAGAATCACATCTCTTAGTACCCTTGTGTTTCCAGAAGCAGCCGGCACAGAGCTGGATCCCCAAGAGGTGTTCCGTAGGCATTTGTTGAGTGAACGTTAAGCGTGAGAAGAAGTCTTGTCAGCTCTCGTTTATCCATACCAACGAAGGTTAACTCTTATGGAGAGTAGAAAATGGTAGCTGGGCCACCCAACTGGACTCCAGCCAAAACCCTCACCTCCTTTGCCAGGGCAGTGGTGGTGACCTTAGAGAAGCAAAATTCCAAGGGACACCGTGAGCCTTGCGTTCAGATAAGAGAGGAGCTGCCATGCAGAAAAGGAGTCAGTGTGCTCTGTGTTGCCACCATGGGCAGATTTAGGACCGGTGGGTGGAGGAAACCTAGAGGGAGGCGGATTTCACCTCAAGATAAGGAAGAGCTTTCCTGCCATGCCTGGCAGCCCCAACTGTCCTTGGATAGGATGCGCTGCCTTGGGAGGACGGCAGCCTCCCCTTCTGCGCAGGTCTGTGTGGAGGCTGAAGAAGCATCTAGAAGGGCTGCTGAGAAGGAACTCTGAGCCCAGAAGGGGGTGTTGGACCAGAGAACTTTTGAGGCCCCCCGGTCTCCAAGTCTCTATGAGTCTTAAAGTCTTTGTTCAGGTGTGCAGAGAGCCCCACCCTTGTCGGTCCTTTGCTCTCTCATGTTGCTCATCTACTCATCGAACTCATCACTTCAGTGAAGCCCATTCAGATCTTGTGCACCCCTCCTATTCGCTGACAATGCCCTTCCACTTCTCCTTCCTTCGCTGCCACTACCTCTGCCTTCCCTCTCCCTCACCTTAGCCCCCCCTGGACCTGACACAACCCACAGTGGGACTAAGGTGCAGGGAACCAGGCCCTCGGAGGCTCAGATGAGAGTTCTTGAGATCCAGGGGAGCCCTCCACCTTGGACTTCCCCGTGCAAATTTCTTCCTGCTTCACACAGGTCCTTTCCCTGGTAGGCTTGAAAAAACCTGAGGAGCTGCAGGGCTTCAGAGAAAGGTGTCTGCACCCTGAGGCTCTCCTCTAAGTTGAGCCCCTGAGGTGGGGGCCGGCAAGACACGGGCTTGGTCTGCGAACCAGCACAACTCGACTCTACCGACTCGCTTTTCTCCTCGGCCCTTGCAGTCCTGGGAAGTAGGCATTTTTCCGTTTCCGAAGCCAGAGGCTCGGACGCCGGGCCAAACCGTAAAGAAACAAGGCAAGTCAGGCCTGGCAGCTAGAGCAGGAGCCCCAGCTTGCGGTCCTCTCCCAGCCCGGTGCTTGGCTGTGGCCCCTAGAGTGTGTGTCCACTGTGCTATTTTTCAGAAGAATATGAGGAACAGTACCCGGAGGCCAGACTTCTGGGGCAGACCTTCCGCTCTGCTGATGAGGCCCCCGAGCCCACTCCTAGCCCAAGGCCCCAGGCTGGCAGGCGTCTGGAGTTTGTGCTGATGGTGAGTTGCCTCTTCCTCCCACCTGTGAGAGCCAGCGTGGGCAGAGAGCTCTCTGCGCTTATTGACAGGGGCCCTCGAGCTGCGTACCTTACCCACCGGAAGCTGCTGCTCACCTCTGCTTGCCAGCAGAGCTACCCTGAGGCCCTGCCGAGATGGGCCCCACACAGCAGGTGTCTGGCCTGGCAGCCCGTCCACACTTTCCTGCCTACCAGACGAAGCCTCTGACCACCCTGTCTAGACAGCCATCCCGTGGGCACGGCTCATCCAGTCGGGAGCACACCCTTCCCATCACCTTCTTTCCCAACAGCCTACAATACGGCAGCCGAGTGAGGATGAGACTACCACCCAGGGTGTGAGGGCCCCCGAGGCCTCCCTGAGCCTGTCTACCACAGCCGACAAGCAAGCTGCCTGGAATAGCCCCTCCCCTCTGCCCATCCTAGAGGAGAAGCGGTGGCTTCAACCTTGTTCCACGCACTCTGACATTGTGCCCATCAACATCTCTGGTAGAGTTGCTTAGCACCACCTCTGTTTGCTTCCCTCCGTGCCAACTACAAACCATCCTCTCCAAATGCACTGGGTGCTGGGGGAGGGAGCGAGACTTTTCTCTGCTGCTGGCTCACCTTGCACTGTCAAGGTCATGGCTCTCGTGGGGGCGGGGGGGGGGGAATGGAGGCATGCAGGCAAGGGGGCTCTCGCTGCTCTTTCTTCACTCTCTCCTGGCACTGCCACGCTAACCGAGCCCCTTTGAGAGCAAACAAATTCCTCTTCACAGAAAACGCTAGGACTCTGTGAATGTGTGGGCTCTTCGGAACGTCCATGGGAACTTAAAGTTTGTGAGCTAGGTTTGGTTTGGTGAGAGAGAACTTCTCATGCCAGAAGCCAGCTTGGTAGCACCCGGATAGGAGTCGGAGTCGAAGTGTGAGGTTTGTAGTGTTGGTGGTCAGAGGGAGGATCCCATCAGGGACACAGAGCTGGGGCCTCGTGGCACTTTCAGTAGACACTCGGTCTGCTAGAGAGGTGGGCTTCTTCACCTTGTGCGGCAAGTG